ATACGGGTTAATTTAGTAATATCATTCTAATGCTGGCTGACGACATGCCTTGCAACCCAAGAAATCCTAAACCTGGTTAGCGCACAAGTTTTATTTTCCCTTTCTTCACATAAGAATGCCAGTGGTGTGCTTTGAACGTGTGTTATGACGCTTTAAAGCATTTTTTTTTATTACAGCAGTAATTCTCTTTTTGACCAACATTGCAAAGTAGAGTTGCAGGTACAGTATTTAATAGTAAGTATGAAGATATCAACCTGTACGGAAGTGAGGTAGAGGTGGATTACAGAGGATATGAGGTAAAAAAAGTTTTCTGTCTTTTAGGTCTGCATATAAAATAAATTTTTTGTAAGGTTTCTGTGGAGAATTTTGTAAGAGTTCTCACAGGACGGGTACATCCGGCTACACCCCGTTCTAAACGGTTGTTGTCTGACCATCAAAGCAATGTTCTGGTTTATCTGACTGGTCATGGAGGCGATGGGTTTTTGAAGTTCCAAGATGCTGAAGAGTTAACTAATGTTGACCTAGCTGATGCTATCGAAACAATGTTCCAATCCAATAGGTATTATTTTTCTATTTTATTTTTTTTATTGCTAGCTGGAGGGAAATTGGTTGCATTTACAGCTGTGATAAAGTGATTTTTTGCAGATACAACGAGCTCTTAGTGATTGCTGATTCTTGCCAGAGTGAATCGATGTATAATAAGATATACAGTCAAAACGTATTGGGCACCAGCAGTTCACTCATCGGAGAAGATTCTTTATCTTATGACGTTGATCAGTAACATTTGCTCCAGTTCAGTAATTGAATTTTTTACTTTTTTGGTCAGATAATATTTAGCAAATTTAGCTCTATCGGTGTTTATATTATCGACCGATATACGCATTTTACACTGGAGTTTCTTGAAAACGAAGTTCAGGCATCAGGTTCTAATCGAACCATGGCAGATTACTTCGATTCTTGTCCTAAGATAAAATGCATGTCTACCGTTGGAGTTCGAACAGATCTTTATCCCAAAGTACACATTTTGATTGTATTTTTTTTTTTGAACATTTTATGTTAAATTGAAGTGAATATATGGTGGAGTCTGGTGTTAAGAAGTTGGCTTAACCTAGGTCATATCGATAACACTTTGAAAATTCACAATATGCACTGAGAATGTGAAAAGCATTTTTTGATTTGTCGTATTTAATTTCAATTTTAAATTTAGTTTCTTTATGTTATTTTAGTCGTCTTGTAACAGCTGCTGATACTAAATGTTAAAATGATTATTAAAGAAGTTTCTTGTAGGACCCAAGCCGTGTTCGCGTGACAGATTTTTTTGGTTCTACACGGAACGTAAGAGTTATTAATGAAGTTATAGAGTTTGATGATGAATGGCTAAAGGTTGAACCAAAGCGGTATTGACAGAGCAGCCTTTAGTCTGTATTAATCAATCAATTAATTATTCGTGATTAACTATTGCACTTGTTCGTTGTGTATTGTCTAAGACTTTTTTTTGCTTAATCGGGTTTTGTCTTGTTATATAAATGGCTAGCGAGCATCATTTTCTAAAGCTTTAACTCATTCATCAGGATCTACTTTTACTTAGGTAATTTTTGAATTACCTCAAATTTTTAATTGTGTTATCTATATTCTTTTTTCATACTTGGAATAAGAAATGAGAGGGAATCTCTTAAAATTGTCGGATGTTATTTTTTTTAAAGTAATTTTGCTGAAATTGTTGCTATTTGTTCTGTAAAAAGAAAAGTGAAAGAAGAAGGAAAACAAAAGGTTAAATTAGTGAAGAATACATTCTTTAACCTCGGTATTAGAATTTGTTGTTGGAATTTTCTTTCTGATTTTCTTCCTGGTTGGCCATTACTGATACACTTTATTGTTTGGAGCTTTTAAAATTTTTTTACGGTTTTTGGGTGTTTTGCTAAGGCATGAAGTTCTAGGCAACAGTGAACCTCTCTTGACACAGCAGTAACAAGGAAGTAAAGTTCTTGGAATTTTTTTCCGAAACCAGTTTCTTGTCTGCTAAGCTTGTTTCATACGTTGCTTAAAATTTGTTATTAACTTCTTTTGGAAAAGTACTTGTGACAAAGTCAGATTCTTCAAGTTTTGGAGATTTGTAATGTACTGCTGCTAATTTAAATAACCAGCATGGCGGCGACTAATTAGGATTAGTTCTCGTGGAATATCAGAATGTATAAAGAGGTCTGACAATAAATATTTTAGCGGAAATTGCGAAACGTTTGTACCTTGGATTCTGTGCGCTTACAGACATCTGGAAGATTGAACATCTATTAGAAAACTTTTCTTTACGTTTTTACATTCGTTTCATTCACTTTTTTTTCCCTCTATCTCAGGATATTTAAGTTATTGTCAAAATTGTTTTCTGTGCTGAAATAATAATTTTCTGGAGTGGAGTCTAAAATACAATACTTTTTTTTTTGTGGAGCGAGAAGAAATATGGTGGATTAGGGCTGAGTTTCCGTATTCCTTTGTAAAGCATTTTTTTTTTTTTACTTAAATGGGACGAATGTTGTGATTTTCATTTGAAGCGTTATTTGCTATATTGGTCGTTTTTTACTATGTCTCATTTGATATCATCACTTCCATAAAACGGCAGTGTAGCTGTGTTATATGTCAAGTGTTTTGAATGGTTATGCTGAGTAAATTTTAATTTGTACTTTTTTAAAGAACAAATAACTACCTTAGTGAAGTTGTCTAGATTTTACAGCGGAAAATAAGATTTAACTTTTTTTGGTTGAAATGTGTTTATATTTTTAATCTATTGAAGAAAGGCTTCATCAAGGTCGTTAAGATAGTGCAGGTTTTTTTGGACAAATGAACTTTTTAGCAAAACTCGAAGGACAGCGAAAGGTTGTTGAGTGTGCTCTGCCTACATTTGGCAGGCCTGCTTTGGTAGTGGGTGGTAAGTCTCATTTTAAGTTTTGAAGTCACTGGGTGATGGGGTAGAGGAGGGTTCAAAACTTTCTGGTTGTTCTAAAGTGTGACGGTCAGCAATTGGGTGTTAAGTGAAGAGAGGTCTGTGAAGTTTGTGTAGTGAGAAGTGGTGGAATTACCTGCGTGGTTATGATGCCATGTAGACAGTTCTTGATTCGATGGCAGATTATACTCGTGAAACAACGGCTTCAGTTTATTTTATTTTATTTTTTTTAATAGTTTTTCATTTTCTAGTTACTGCTAAATTTCTGGATAATTAAGGGTACCGTTGGCGAGGAATGAGGAGATTCAGCTGGTTCATTTGAACATGAGTTTTTCTGTGTGTTCCCACCAATTCGTCGTTAGAGCTTTTCTTTTTTAATGCTTGTCATATTTTCGTCGTAAAATTTGAGCAGAAGTTTTGTGCAATTTTTAAGAGCAAAGAAGAAATAAATGCAGGAGATCGTTTATTCACAACGCATAGAAGAAGCTTCAGACTACACTTTCTTGTTCCATATACTGAAAGCGTTTTTGCGGCTTTGGTTCAACTTCTTCAGGTTCCTTCGAAGTTTTACCATAAAAGCTCAATATACATTCCGGCGCTGAATCTAATTCCCAATTGTATGTCCATAGATCGTTTATCTAAAAGCGTTTGATTAACAATTAAAGTGTTGTTTATTTGAATTTCAGGTCGCTTTTTTTTCTTGTAAAATAGAGAATAATATAAAGAGGGAACGAAAGAAATTGGAACTATGTAGTTAAAAAAATATGGAATTTATAAAGCAACAAACTGATGTTTTGATTAAGACTACTGTTGTGGTAATCAGCAACACTGTTTAATATTAAAAATTCCATTTGCAGCAACTTATTATTTAAAATTGAAAAGAAATATGTGTCATTCTGATATGGCAAATTTTTTAAAGGCTTCAGTGAGTTTTATTTACATTGATATTTTTTTGGAGGGGGGATGGAGAAAATGAAAGGCAAAATTTGAAAAAAGAAAATAAAAACTTTAGACAGAGGATATTTTCTAGTAGAAGTCTTCTGTAATTTTTGAAATTCAAACTGCGAAAGAAGGGCATTAAAATAATTTTATTTTTATTTCTTTTTGCTAATTCTTTCCTTTTTTTCTTGGCTGTCAAAAACTAAGGCAATAATTAAAACTATAATTGGTCACTCCACCAGTCATTTTGTTTAGTTTATAGAGCATGACAAAAGATTGCTAATGGAATTTTTGCAAACAAAAATACAATAATAACCTTTAGAAGTAAACGACGAGTGGTTGAAGTGAAATTACTATCACAGAGATGATTACGAACTTGAATCACTAAATCGTCACATAATTTTGGCTTTACCGTTGACAGTAGAATACCGTGTGAACTTAAAATTTCCGCTAATACCTGGAAAATTTTTCAGTTTAGATTATTTCTGTTGTTTCTGTTTTTCTTCTTCCACTCAACAACAGAAGCCGTTACAAACATGTGATTAAATAAACAGAAATTACAGACAGTATAACCGGATTGACAGACAGGCTGAAAAACGGATGAAGAATTAGAAAACCGTTGATTTTGGAAAACAGTTGGTCGTGTAACTAAAAGTATGATTGCTTAACGGAGCGGATCGGTAGTATAATTGGTAGCAGCCCTGAAGACACAGCATTTGCACGAAACCCATTCATTGGTACGTTTCCAACCTACTGAGCCAATCGAACCGAATGCGGTGAATGTGTGGTTGAAAACAGTCTGAGTACTATAGAAAAATTGGCAACATTTTTCTCTTTCAGTGCTTCTCAAATTTTCACCTATTTCACTGTCAGCTTGTGACACTATTGCGAATACTAGAATAATGGTTCAATCAAACAAGAATTAAACATGTAACCATAGTCAGGATAGATGTATTGAATGTAAGTCTAGTTAAAAGTTTGTTGAACGATAACAGTCAATAATTGTTGCCAATGTTATAGTCTAGCTAAATCTAACTTTTTCCACTCTAAAAGATATGAGATTGATTATTGCATAATGAACGTTAGTTGCTTTTTAGAAAAGAAAAAAAGTTAAGATTGATTTTTTCAATACACAGTTGAGGTAGGTCTCTGAAAATAATCTATTATTCTTCACTTTCTTCTTTTCTTTTTTTTTTTTTTTTTT